TGCTGGCATTAGGAGAAATTTTCTGCCCAAAGCAAATAATTATTTACTTAGAAATATTTTGGCAACAATTACAAAGGCAAATGTATTGGTTCTTCTGTGTAGAACTACAGATTTTAACAGTAAAACTTTAAATAATGAAAATAGTAAAAACAGTCTACTACAGTGCAGGTAATGAATGCACATTTTTCTACAATCATGTCCTATTCATCTTTACTTTTAATTGTCCTTTTAATAGAAAAATGACCTCTAACGTATGAAAATGCTTTTTCATATGAAACTGTATGGATGATTATTCATTTTGTTTAACACAAATGCAAGTTTGAACTTCAGCTTCAGTTTTCACTAAGTGTCCTTTTAACTAGTACGTCTGACAGACATGGAGCATATGCTGGTTGTTCTTAAGGGAACAGTCACCAGAAAGTCAAACACTGGGGAAATCAAACAGAATAGTACTGTTGATGTAAAAGTTGCTCTTTGTTTTGAAATACTCCACTAAAAAAGCTAACAGAAATCTTTCTTACCAGGCAGTTGGTTTACAGCACCCAAGTAATTCTTAAATAAAGGCTGCTACAAGAAAGGAACAAGTCGAGTATTTTAGCCAGTTCTTTTTTTCCATTTCACTAATAAAATTTCAGCTTTCTAATTCAATTCATGTCCATTTAGGTTAGCCCACACTAAGTTGTGCCGACTGTTACTAACAATAAGAGCACAGAAAGCAAAATTCAATTCTGAATCATTTACTTTTCCAAGTCTGCCACTGGGATATTCCTCACCAAAAGAAAAAGAATAAATCTGACTATGACTTATATTCCTGAAGTTAGCTGGTGCAGGAAAAAACCACAGTAAATGGCTTACCCTATTTTAAGGAATGTTTAGCTACACATTATCAGAAATGATCATAGTAGAACCATGCAGCTGTAACCCGAGTCATGTTTTATGAACAAGGGAATACAAACAAGACAAGCAGCTGGAGCGGCCCCATATTCACTGATGCACATCTTTCTCCCTAAAGCTATGAGGGCCATTTTGTCAAGCAGGATGAAGCAGAACAAAAGTGGCTCTGAAAGCGCCGTTACAGGCATCCAGATAACTACATATAGATGTACAGCTAAAATTACCAATTAGTTTACCAATTGGCTGCAACGGATTCGATTGGTTTGTAATTAATTCTAGTTACTGGCGCGTAGAGCAGGATGGTTGGCGCCATCCCTTTGTCCTCCTGACACACAATACTGGCGTGCAGGGCTCTGGGGTCCTGGACATCAATACAGCTCTCTAGCTCACCTACGGTACCGAGTGTAGCAGATATACCCTGTGGTGCTGAAGCAGTGGAAACTTGTACCACTTGAGAAGGTGCTGACAAAAGGGAACCTTTATGGGGTAGACTACGGCTGCACTAGAGTCAAAACAATTTTAAATCCCATTATTTTTCAAGGTTATACCCATCCCATACGATTTTTAAAGAGCCAGTTCAAGCTAAAGAAGAAAGCAATACTGCTAAAAAACAACACTTAAAGGAAAATCAGTGACATAAACCTAAAAACACTCACAATACGGCTCCTGTTTCTGCACACTGTTCACTTCTCTGATCAATAGTCCTGCATATCACAAAGCTCTTTTTGTGCTTTTCCTTCTTTTTTCCAGCTCTCAGTCATTACTTTGGTTTCTATGTATTTATCTTAAAGTTGCCCTCCTCATCTCTTCAATAGGATGATCATATTAATGATTTTGCAATCAGCAAGGATCTCTAATATACAGAGTAGCTACATCAGAATAATCCTGTATTCCTGAACCAGGGCAATCTTGACTTGGGTCTTAGACAGTCCTATTAAAATCCCAAAGAACAGAAATTCACTGTGTTTGGAAGCCCTATAACGCCTGAAACATTGTCTTTGCCACTTTTTGTCCCATTCTCAAACAAGGGGGAGGAAAAGAGGGAAGCATGGAAGAGTGCAGGATTTTAAGGTTACTACAATTCAAAATAGTAGAATGTGTGTCAGAGAAATCAGCTCAGTCACCACATCTGTACTTCGTATTATCGTAAGGCTAGAAACGTGTGGTTCATTTTACAAACTATGCATACTTTATATTGGTTCATTATCTATAGCAAATATTTTAGATTATTTATTTACCAAAATATACTCCATTTTCTATTGTACTGGAGCACGTTTATAGCAGGCGACCGAAGTTCCTACTTACTTTCTTCAAAATTATATTTTTATTGAAACTGGACGTTTCAGTTCTGTGACACCAAAACAGTTTCCAAAAATTCCTTGTAGCTTTTGTCCTACAATTGAATTACAAACACTTAAAGCCAACTCTGGGGTGAGGTTAAACAAAAATGATTGCCAAAGCAGTCCTTAAATCCCTGGGGAGGGATGAGAGGAAGCAGCTCCTCTAGCCAAAGGCCTCTCATTATACCAACTTCAGTACATGGTAGATAATATTTAGAACAAACAAACAAACAAACAAATGAAGACTCTAAAACAGATGCAGAGGAGAAAACCAGAATCATTTACCAGTAACTTATAATTCTCTCAACAGGTGTGCCTTGTTAAATAATCTCACACCAGCTCTGCAGAAGCTACTAAGCAGCAAACTATAGACAGTAAAGCTGCAGGAACACATGGCCCCTTATATGTGTGTATGTGTATATAAATATATATACAATATATATATGTGTACATGTATATAAATATATACATATATAGGATTATCCAGACTGCCTGTCCTTCACTGTTGACTCATCTGTGGAAGATGACAACAATGAAAATGTCAATGTCAGCTCATTTAGAGAGAGACATAAACATCCTCTTCCTAAAGATCTCCAATTCCAGCAATTTTTTATAAGTTTTTACTCAAACAATTTGAATACATCTTCCATAAAACGCTACTGATCTGAAAGACTGTCT